CGGCCGGGCCTTCGACGGGCAGAAGCTGTACCAGCACGTCCGCACGTGGCTCCCGGCCTACGCGGTCCCCCATTTCATCCGCATCCAGGTGAGCTGGGGGGGGGTGGCTGTGGCTGGGAGGCGGGAGGTCGTGGCTGTGGGAGTCGCGGGTGGAGTTGCAGTCCGCCCCCTGCAGGACACCCTGGAGATCACCAACACCTTCAAACTGGTCAAGTCCCGGCTGGTGCGCGAAGGCTTCGACGTGGGCACCATCGCGGACTCGCTGTTCGTGCTGGACGGCCAGGCCCAGACCTTCCGGCCGCTGACACAGGACACGTACCGGGCCGTGTGCGAGGGCACCTGGAAACTCTGAACCGCTGGCCGGTGACGGGGCCAGGCCAACGCTGACCGCTGTCAAAAACTAATAATAAACGGCAGCACTTTGCAATCGAGCTGCAGCTGCTGTGCCAGAGGAGCGACCGTGCAGGTCTCACGTCTCAAGCCTTTGACTGTGAAGACGGGGCCTGATCGACCTTGTGTCCTGAAGAGCTGTTTGCAGGAATAACAAGAAAGCAGTTACGATCAGTGGACTGGTGGCTACGGACCTGAAAAATGAAAAGCAATAGCACTGCCTTCCGTCTATGGGTGTAATTGTGCCCCTGCCCTTTCTCAGGAATTTCCCTGGCCTCTGTCTCCTGATCAGAACACTCTTGGGCATCTGCCTGAATCAGTACTTCAGGAAAAGTTATTCCCCCCCACACACACCTGCCTAATTTTCAAATAAACGCTAGTTTCCTCTCGCTTTGGAAGCCTCTTTCTTTTTTTTAATGTTTTTTTATTGGTTTCAGAGAGGAAGGGGGAGAGAGAGAGAGAGAGAGAGAGAGATCAATCGGTTGCCTCCCGCATGCACCCCAACCAGCGACCTTCAGGTGCAGGGAAGACACTCAGCCAACTGAGCCGAACTATGAGGGCGACCGGCCACGGGCGGACGTGCAGGCGCTGGACTGAGGCGCGAAGGTTGAGCAGGAAGAAAAGGGGGGAGCGCTGGGGGGAGGGCGGGCGCAGAGGCCTCTGAGGTCGGGCTCTGCAGGGTCTGCAACCGGACGTGCCCTCGGGGCGCAGTGGGCGCTGCAGACCAGAGGTCACGAGAAAGGAGCCCCCAGCGCAGAGGCCTCCAAAGGGTCCCCAAGGCTGAACGTGTCCCCCGGGGCATTGTGGGAGCTGCGGGCAGAGGCCCGAGAACGTCATGGAGGCCTCTGTGACGTATGAGGTCTTGGTGACGTAAGGAGCGCCGTCACAGTCCCGAAGTGCGGCCTGGAGCATCTGGGAGCTGCGGGCAGAGGCCAGCGGACGTCCACGCTCCTCGCTCCTGGCATGTGGAGTCGGAGCCGCTGCCAGAATCCACCAGGAACGAGGGGGTCCACCAGGGACTAGCGACCACCCAGGGCCACGGGAATTCCCTGAGGCCCATAAGGGACCTTGGACCCACCAGGGACCGGGGACCCACCGTCCTCGTCACGCCCCCTGCGGATCTCGCCTGCTCGCCCGCTCGCTCGCCCACCTGTAACCGCTCCATCTCCAGTTTGGACGCGGCGGGCCGCACCAGGGTGAGCCCCGGGTCAGAAGGTCCTCGGATTCTGGGGGTGGCGGAGGCGGCCCCCGCCCTCTCCCAGCTCCAGGCTGCAGCCAGGTCCTGCCCTGCCCAGGCCAATCCCCGGGTCGCCCATGTCACACCCCGCTGCCCCTGCATGTGTCAGAGGCTGCAGAGGCTCCTTCCTTTTATTTTGTTGTTTTGAAATTTCAGAGAGAGGAAGGGAGAGGGAGAAATAGCAACATCAATGATGAGAATCATTGATTGGCTGCCTCCTGCACGCCCTGCCCTGAGGATCGAGCCTGAAACCCAGGCATGTGCCCCGACCTGGAATGGAACCACGGAATCGTGACCGCCTGGTTCACAGGTCAGTGGCCAACCACTGAGCCACACCCGGCCCAGGAGGGCTCCTTCGTGGAGTGTGCCTGTTTCCTGGACACTATCCCCACAAAGATGCCCCTTATTTTCAAAGTAGGAAGCAGCTGGAGAAGGTAACGTCTTCCAAAGACATGCATGTCCTAATCCCTGGAAACGGTGGGTGCGTCCTCGTCACGCCCCCTGCGGATCTCGCCTGCTCGCCCGCTCGCTCGCCCACCTGTAACCGCTCCATCTCCAGTTTGGACGCGGGCCGCAGGCCCAGGGTGAGCCCCGGGTCAGAAGGTCCTCGGATTCTGGGGGTGGCGGAGGCGGCCCCCGCCCTCTCCCAGCTCCAGGCTGCAGCCAGGTCCTGCCCTGCCCAGGCCAATCCCCGGGTCGCCCATGTCACACCCCGCTGCCCCTGCATGTGTCAGAGGCTGCAGAGGCTCCTTCCTTTTATTTTGTTGTTTTGAAATTTCAGAGAGAGGAAGGGAGAGGGAGAAATAGCAACATCAATGATGAGAATCATTGATTGGCTGCCTCCTGCACGCCCTGCCCTGAGGATCGAGCCTGAAACCCAGGCATGTGCCCCGACCTGGAATGGAACCATGGAATCGTGACCGCCTGGTTCACAGGTCAGTGGCCAACCACTGAGCCACACCTGGCCCGGGAGGGCTCCTTCGAGGAGTGCGCCTGTTTCCTGGACACTATCCCCACAAAGATGCCCCTTATTTTCAAAGTAGGAAGCAGCTGGAGAAAGTAACGTCTTCCAAAGACATGCATGTCCTAATCCCTGGAAACGGTGGGTGTCACCTCACATGCCAAAGGGCTCCTGTAGATGAATCAGGTGAGGACAGAAAGAGATGCTTCAGGATCCTGAGACAGGGATGATGACAGCTCACCAGGTGAGCGCTAAATGCAACCGCAAGGGTCTTTCTAAGGCCGTGGTTCTCAACCTTGGCCGCACATTAAAATCACCTGGGAATCTTTAAAATCCTGATTTCTGGGCCTCATCCTCCGGAAATTCTGTTTCTTTGTTATGGGGTGGGGCCACAACATTAGTAACGAAGAAACAGAATTTCCGGAGGATGAGGCCCAGAAATCAGGATTTTAAAGATTCCCAGGTGATTTCTAATGTGCAGCCAAGGCTGAGAACCACTGTTCGAAGGAGAAGGCAGGAGGCTCAGAGCTGGAGGGACCGCAGCACAAGAGAGACCTCACCACCACTGCTGGCTTTGCGGGTGGAAGAAGGGGCCAAGGGATGAGGCAGCCTCTTGAAGCTGGAAAAGGCAATAAAATGGCCCTTGCCAGTTTATCTCAGTGGTTAGAGCGTTGGCCCGAGGACTGAAGGGTTGAAGGCTCAATTCTGGTTCAATTCAAGGGCTAGATCCCCAGCCCTGGTCGGGGCACGTGCAGGAGGCAACTAATGTCTCTCTCTCACATTGACGTTTCTGTCTCCCTCCCCCTGCCCCTTCCATTCTTTCTGAAAAATCAATGGGAAAATTGGTGAGGATTTCAAAAAAAGGGGGGGGAAAGGCAATAAACTGGATTTTCCCCTAGAGCCTCCAGGAGTAGCCTGCCCTGATGACACCTTGATTTAACTCAGTGAAGCTGTTTCACAGTCATGAGAAAACAAATGTGTGTTGTCTGGAGCCCCCACGCTTGTTGAAACTAATAAGTGCACTGAGAACGTCGGAATGCCTGCTGGGGAACCCAGCTGTGCCTCCGGGGGCAGCAGGCCGCTGGCCCTTCGCTCTCCTGCTCTCCGCTGACCAACTGCATGGGCTGTGGGGGCACAGACCCGACCTGCAGCTGTGCGGGCCGAAGGGCCTTGTTCTCAGAGCCCCTTCCTACTCGTGCGTAACGGAGGCCCTGCTGGACCTGGAGAGCATGATGCTGAGCGAAACAAGCCAGTCGGAGGAAGATAAACACCACATGATCTCACCCATGTGTGGGATGTAATGATCAACATAAACTGATGAACAAGAATAGATCCAGAGACAAATGGCAGGCGAGGGGGGTTAGAGAGCAACCAAGGACTTGTATGCACATCAGCATCACCAATGGACACAGACACGGAGGCGGTGGGGGCTGGCCCGGG